ATTTTTGAAAAGCTTAAAATATAATTTTTTACGAATTTGACAAAAGATGACAAACTTTTAATAAAGTTAGAAAAATGCCATTACAAAGGTAAAAACAAAATTCCACTGTAAATCACTTTAAGGAGTCAAATATCACCTTGTAATGGGAAGGCTAATGTTTGATCAAATTTTGGATTATTGATTAGAAGGTGCTCCAAAAATTTTGAACGTGCTCCTAAATTTTTTAAGTTAGGAGCACAAGTGCTCCTAAAAAGAAAAGTTAGCATAGAGCCCTGGGAGGTAATTCTGACTTTGCTATGACAATCTGCCGCTTCTGAATCAGCTACTGTTTTGTTATTAGTTTAAGTATTTGCTATTGACTGTTCAAATGCAGAGTTTTGCGCATCGTGTGTGTGTGTGTGTGTGTGTGTGTGAGCGAGAGAGAGAGAGCGAGAGAGAGAGAGAGCGAGAGAGACAGGGTCACATCACAGTGGCGTCAGCTGACTTAACCGTGGCTTGTGTACTGCAAACACATACCAGCTTCATCACTGTGTCTGTCACACGACTCTGTTTCCCTTTCGGGCTTGAACTGATGGTAAAACTAATTACATTATTTACTGTCTTTACATTTATTTTGAAAGATGAAGCTCGCGATTATGGTAAGGGGCGTTACATTTCCGACGAGTGCTTGCGGTGTTCAGCCAATCACAATGCACTGGGTCAGCTGGCCAATCAGAGCAGACTGCGCTTGTCGGAAGGCGGGGCTTTGTAGAAAACGAAGCGTTTGAGAGAGGCGGGGCACAGAGGACCTACAATAATGTACAGTATTTGAAAAATAATGTGTTTTTTGAACATTAAAGCATGTCAACATATTCTGTTACACCAAATAATGATCTTTAAAAAAGCATCAAATGACCCCTTTAATATGGTTATTATTGGGGCTCATCTGGGGTGTATTCTAGAAAGCAGGTTTAATTTACCATCTGCTAAACCCTAAACTCTCGGTTGATTAACCCAAACCTTGCTTACTTGAGGTAGGTTGGTTCCAAAAACACGTCCGGAAGTAAGTTCGTTCAACTCAAGAGTATGTTCCTGGTTAAGACTCAAGACATTCTCAACAAAGCAATGAATCGACGAGTAACTATGGAAACGGACGCTAAGAAAAAGCGTGCCATGCTGGTCATTTGCATACTTGGTTCATATCGCCATCTAACTGGTGGTTGTGCAATAATTTTCCGTTTAATCTTTAATCCTTGAGAATAAGAATTATGTTTGTTTGATGCAAATTATATAAATCGTCATATAAGATATGTTTTTATTATTGAAATACATATAGAAAATGCAGATCCATAATGAGCGAGATGATATAATATAAAATGAAATAAATGTAAGATAATAAATACATTATCTGTGACGAGTCGGCTGCCTCCCCCCTAATTATCAGCATCACCCCGTCGCTTAATCGCCGGCCTTCGCCAGGCCCCCGACAGGAGTGGGTGTGTGAGAGAGGAGGGGCACAGAATCATCCAGGTCTGGCGGCGTGTGATGAGGCACACCTAAAGTGAATGGAGCCCCATCACCGCCGCTGTTAAATGCCGAGTGTGCCTCTCCTCGGGAGACCGGTCTCTTCCCCGTGCATGCATGCTGGTGTCCTCGTGGGTCCAGGAAGGGTGCATAGGGGGACTCCCTCGCTGCCAGACCCGCAGTCTGGTCGAGAACCGCACCCGTTATACGGCCGACGGGCCAGGATGCCGGGCCGTTTATCCCCGGGAAGCGCCGTGGCCAAGGAGGACGAAGCCGCTCAGAAGAAGCCGCCGCTGTAAAAAAAATAAATATGTCCACAACCCTCATCCTAATTAGGCCCTGACACCTGGAGAGGAAGAGGCTCTCCTTTCCTTTATATTCTGGATGGCAGACCATGGCTTCCCAGTGACAAGATCCCTTGTCAAAGTTCTGGCTGTTGGGATCATTAAAGAGAGTGGCAGAACCAAGACCACCACCGTAAATCTAGAGAAGGGGCCAAGTGATGTGTGGTGGTCCAGGTTCAAGGCCCGCCATCCAGAATTGGCCTCAAGCACGGCAGATTCCCTGGACAGATCCAGAGTCCATGGTGCTACACCGGAGGCCATTGAGGCATTCTTCAAATTATACGAGGCCCTTTATGTGCAGCACAAGCTGGAGAACAAGCCACATCTCCTCTATAATTGTGATGAGACTGGCTTTGGAGACAAGCCTCGGTCCAGGGAGAAGGTCCTGTGCCAGACTGGAAGGAAGCATGTCTATCAACAGCATCAGACAACCAGGGAGCACATCACGGTCCACTGCTGTGTGAATGCAGCCTGTGAAGCACAAGCTGGAGAACAAGCCACATCTCCTCTATAATTGTGATGAGACTGGCTTTGGAGACAAGCCTCGGTCCAGGGAGAAGGTCCTGTGCCAGACTGGAAGGAAGCATGTCTATCAACAGCAGCAGACGAACGGGGAGCACATCACGGTCCACTGCTGTGTGAATGCAGCCGGGGACAGCCTTCCACCCTTCAACATATTTACCTCCCAAGTGATGCCTATAGGCTGGATGGGGCCCCCCAACGCCCTCTATGGCATCCAAGAGAAAGGGTTACATGGACTCTGAGCTCTTCCTGACATGGCTCCACCATTTTATCAGATATGCTCCTGAGGAGAGACCACTAATTTTAATCATGGACCAACACGAGACACATGTCTCAAGAGACGTAATCATGTTCTGCAGAGAAAACAAGATTGAAATTCTCTGCCTACCTGCCCACACCACACACATACTTCAGCCCCTGGATATTGCGGTCTTCAACCCACTGAAGACCGCTTTCTCCACCATGGCTTCCAGGATGGGTCTGGTGCGAGGGGACATTGTTGAGGGGAAGAAGCAGTTTTCAGCTCTCCTCAAACACGTTTACCCCACTGCTGTCACAGCCCAAAACATCAAGGCCGGGTTCCGCAAGGCTGGCATCTATTCTCTGTCCAGAGCTGCTGTGGACACAACCCAGGTAATTGTGACATTAATACAATGATACTTCATCCTCTAAGCTACTTCCATTTCTTTTCAAGTGTGTTAATGAGTTTTACATGCGTTTTATTTTCTTAGGTGGTGAGAGTGCTCCCATCTGCAGATGGAAGTGACGCCACACCATCCAGCCCTGCTGGTGTAGTTCCAGAGAGTCTAACTAACGTCCTCATGAGTCCAGCCCTGGAGAAGAAGGGAGAAGGTGAGGCGTCGCATTCCGTTGCCAGCCCGTGTCGTCACCAGCGACAAGTACTTCGACCTGCTGGTAGAAAAAGAAACTCAGGAGAAAGAGAAGGAAGAAGAGAAGCCCAGGAGGTCAAAAGGCACAAGAATCCGGCACCTCCTCCTACTGAAGATTGAGAACACGGCGCTCTCTGCCATAGAGTGGTCCCACCTGGCTCAGGAGATGAGGCCATTGACGAATGGGTCCAGTGAGATCTGTGTCATTTGTGGTTCCACTTGGAGTGTGCAGAAGTGGAGGAAGTGCCAGACACTGACTGGCTTTGCCATAAATGTTGTCTGTCCACATAAAAACACACGGTACACACACAATGTAAATAGTGCACACAGAAAATGTTCATTTATAGTTATGGTATTTTTTTTAAATCAGTTTAGTTTTAAATGTAAATAGTTGTACACACACACCTGCATCCTGATAATTTTTGAAGTTTTCACATTGGTTGATCATTAAATATTTCGAATCCGTTCAAATTGTTTGCCCTTCTTTGTCTTCAGAAAGATATGGTAACGTTATTCACAAACGTTTCACATGATTCATGCTTAACCCACATGCCATAATCAATATCACGACACAATCAGGCCTAGCTCGCATGGAGCTTATTAAAACGGCAAATAACTTAAATTTTAAACAACTAAAAAGGTACTCGCCTTTCTTATTCAGTAATATGTTGTTTTCTTCAGTTAAAATAAATAGTTCAAAGTTGATCCGTTAAATGTCAATTTTTGTCGTTGAAATCAAAGTATGCGCTCTGTACGGAACACCGTTAACGCTTATCATCTTCCGTACACGTGCTGAGGAGCTACTTTTCCCCACTTTTCTCAAAAACTATTGGTCCAAAAGACATCAATCAAAGTGTGGACTGTGCAATGGGTATTCCCCCAGAGAATGATCACACAAACATGCTTGTCTGGCTTTCAACAACGGAAGAGTGGTCGCTGGCGTGCGGTGAAGGGCGAAAAGTAGGGATGTATCGATCCGAAGTATTGATATATCGATACTGCCGCGAGTATCGAAAGTATCGATACTCAAACAAAAAATATCGATATTAAGGTGTGTTTTATTTACCAGTGATTTTGTTTATTTAACAAAAAAATGCATACAATATGCATTTAATTGGACGAATAATCTATGTTAGCGAGTAATTGTGTAGGATATAACTATTTTCCTGCTCATCTGAACACGCGCAAATGTTGCAAGACAGAACCGATCAATCACAGAGAGCGTTTTCTGACGGCGCATTCAAACAGGGCTGCGTTTCCCAAAAGTATCATAAGAAAGCATTAAAGCTTTTGGGAACGGCAGCCCTGAACAATGCTTATCAGAGGACAGAAGGACAGAGTTATTTCACAATAAACAAACTGAAATCGTAACCAACATAGTTTGTGCGATTACAGTTATTTAAATTGAACGTTGAAAGATAATATCGATCATGTTCTATTCAGTAATGTTAATAGAAATCATACACTGTCAGAATAAAAAGGTTGCATTTTATGCATGCAGCAGCCTTTCAGTGTCAGTCCCTTATGAAAATGAACCATGGTTTTACTAAAGTGACCGTAGTTCAACTGTAGTATTTATAGATTTGCATCACGTGTAAACAAAAAACATATTTGAATCATGTGTAAACAAAAATATAACCGAATAAGTTACAATTAAGGCGTATTGAATGTTAAGTGGTTATCATTACCCATTTTTCTTAGTAATTTAATAAACTTCATAATTTAAAAGTTTAGTTCAGAAGTATCGGTATCGATATCGACGATACTGGCCTTTAAAAGTATCGGTATCGTATCGAACACTAAATAAGTGGGATCACCCATCCCTAGCGAAAAGTGTACGGAACATGGTTAGTCTACGTTACATTTGTTGGTTTTGTGTGATGGGATGGAGTGTCTTAGAGCCACAGAAAGACAAACGGGCCATCCATTTATTATGTCATTGTTTAATTATCTTCACAGATTACATTAAAGGACTCCAAACCTGTCATACTGTACCAGAATCCACATAACTCTCAGCTTGGCATCAGTGCAGTTCCTCACGTCGGATATAGTGAATCCATTTTTTACGTGTTTCCTTGTCCAAAGGGAAAGTATGGAAACTAACCACAGAATTACACCTTGAGGATGTGTCACATAATGGGACATATATTTATTTATTTTTGAATTATGAAAAATCTGCACCTATTCTGTGGATAATAAGATTTATTAAGCTCAAGCAGCAGAAGTTAAGTGACAGAGCGCAAATACTTCTGGCCCATTTTGGAGGGAACTAAATATGCAAGATGTCTCTGTTTATACCACAGGGTGTTCATCCTTTGCTGGGCTGTTTAAAAATAAAATGGGGGCCTAAATTAAGAGTATACCCACTTCTCCAGGAACCACTACACCACTGCTGACCTCAACCCGATTCTCATTCTCAACCAAAATGCAACGTCTGTTCGACGTCATGATTCGACGTGCTCGAGTGTCTGCTGCTGGCACTCTGGCTCCACAATCGTTGGATCATGATTATTTGTAATTAGGGATATAATATACAAGATTACTGTCTTAACAGCAGAGTTGTTGTTTTTATGCAGCAGCAGCAGGTCTGTGCATGCATGTATAAGATGTAAATCGTTTAAATTGACAAAAACATTTACTTTTACATACATTGAAATAACAGCACTGATTGCTGTTAGTGTTGTAAAAACGTGTTGTTTTTTTTACACTTCATGATTTACAAGTTTACTTACATTCTCGCAATGTGAAATATGTTATGTAGGTTACTTCAATACTGTTGTACTTTTTTATTTATCTCGAAACACCGGTTATTGGAGCAATTATTAAACAATTGAAAAGCCTATTATTTTCATCAATGCTTTTTATGTGTCAACACAGGATTGCTGCTAGTGTACCATGACACGTTGAATGATACAAAAATGTCAACTATTATTTGCATGTGTTTTATTCTAGGAACATGTCCATGCACTGCTGTAGCTTGAGGACTTTTATTTTGGTGTGGCGCTGTGAAGTCACAGGGCTGCGGCGCGCTGTTGTGATTCAGCTGAAGAACGGTTTGTGCTTTTAAGCATTTAAAGTGTTTAACTCAATGCATGTTTAACTAACATGTTTTAGCGTTACTTGTGTGAGTAAAGCGCATCCACACACGCGAGTTACAGAGAAGACGCGTCTCATTTCGCTCCTTTTATCGTGAATCAGTTTATAGTGAACGCGAGTTCAGTCACTGGTGAGTAGAGCTGCAGAAACTCGGCTCTTCAAAGCTTCGAGTGAATTGAACCGAACGCACCGCAAATGATTCAGTGATTCAAACCGCTCGGTTCACCGCGCACTGGCGACATCTGCTGCTCAAACCAACAACAAACACATGTAATGACAACTTTAACAAACCAACTGCAAATGTGTTTATTTAAAGTGGCAAATGCATTTTATAAATGCCTGATGTAAACCACAACTGTGCAGACTACTGAACATAGAGACGCACCAGATATTCGTTCAAATCTGATTTTGTGCTTATCCGGATGGAATGACTGACTGTGCACACTGTGCATATCCGCTTTGTGTGTCCATAAGCGCTCTTTCGTTTTACAGAATGTGCATTGCTTTCTATGGCAATGCCGTTGTGTTGTTATGCCTATGCAGCAATACAGGGGCCCGTTTCATAAAGCAAGTTGACCAGATAAGTAGGAGTGTGCGATATACATCGTCTGCGATAATATCGTAATTGTTGTATTAACGATGTGCGATTTGATATTATCGAGTATTTTGCAAAAACCATTCAAAACGCATCTACAGAGCGCACGCATGCATTACGTGAAGTCTAGACTAGTGCGTGTGCGTTCTTTCACTGCATGATTCAGGTTATTTAAATGCATTTAGAATGATCACAAATTCAAAATGTATATATTTATACCACTTCAGAGTGCCGTTTTTCTTCCAAAATTACCATGATTACAAATGTGACATTTAATTCAATAAACAGTAAGTTAATTAAGAGACGTACGTTTTAGACTCCATATTGCTTGTTTTTGCTCTGTTTCGCCAACAAAAATCATTCTGAATACAGCCACAGCGCTGTTTTGTGTCTCTGAGCGACATGACGGTGTTTCGTTCCCGAATGAATCAACCGTTTAACTGATTCGTTTCAATCGCAATGACTCACTTATTAACAGTGCTTTGCTGCCACCTACTGGCGGTTTTAATTTCACATTTCTGCGTTTTTCATGTTTCAAATCATTTCAAATATCAGTATGCAACATTTTATGTTTAATATATCAAAACATTATTTATGCATTTGTAATTGCAGGTTAAATGCATTCATGTCTTGCATTAAACAAAATCCATGTGTGCAAATGCATCTAAACGCCACTTCAGATGCAGCTTCTGTGTTGATTTAATTTGCTCGGTAACAGCCCGAATGTCTTATTATTCTAATTCCCTGATTAAATGTAAGAATTTGACTCAAAAGATAATAATCACTTCTAGAAAAAATGGCTTTATAAAGGTAAAAATGCCCATAAAATGCAAAAATCAGTTTAAACTTATTGGAAAAGATTAATTTCTATCAGTATGAACTGACCAGCACACAGAATATGAAGAATATTAAAAACATTAGGAGTCTGCTGTCTTCGGCAGTCCTTAAGGTACCAGCACAATAACACACTCAGCAAAATATCATCTAATTATCGTTATCGATAAAATCCCATAAAATATCGAGATATCATTTTTTTTGTCAATATCGCACACCCCTACAAATAAGCCAGGCTTATTTCAGTTAGTCTGATTTATTGTCACATGATTTGGTTTCAGAAAGCAAATTTACCATAGGCCCCAGGTTAGTTTCTCAGCGTAAGTTGCCACAGTGACTGAGCTTGAGCTGTTTCATAAAACAAGTTTACCAAATAAGACAGGTTTATTTCAGTTAGTCTGACTTATTTTGAACCAAATCAATTGACAATAAGTCAGTCTCACTGAATTAAGCCTGGCTTATTTGGTAAACTTGTTTGATGAAACAGGCCCCAGGTTAGTTTCTCAGCGTAAGTTGCCACAGTGACTGAGCTTGAGCTGTTTCATAAAACAAGTTTACCAAATAAGACAGGTTTATTTCAGTTAGTCTGACTTATTTTGAACCAAATCTAGTCTCAATAAGTCAGACTAACTGAATTAAGCCTGGCTTATTTGGTAAACTTGTTTGATGAAACAGGCCCCAGGTTAGTTTCTCAGCGTAAGTTGCCACAGTGACTGAGCTTGAGCTGTTTCATAAAACAAGTTTACCAAATAAGCCAGGCTTATTTCAGTTAGTCTGACTTATTGTCACAATATTGTCAATAAGCCTGGCTTGTTAGGTAAACTTGTTTTATGAAACAGCCCCCTGGTCCGGGGCAGGCTAACGGTCAGGTAACGCTGACCAATAGGAACACATTGATATTACCGCTGACTCCCGCGCATACAATTAGTTGACTTTATTATCGGTCCAAAAATAAAAGTACACAACTGAAATAAATAAAAATACAGGCTACAACCAACTGTATTTAATATATTGTGCCCGAAATTTAATGACTTTTCTTAAAGGGATGGGTTCATTGCGATTTCACCTTTTTAACGTTAGTTAGTGTGTAATGTTGCTGTTTGAGCATAAACAATATCTGCAAAGTTACGAAGCTGAAAGTTCAATGCAAATGGAGATATCGTCTTTTAAAATTCTGGTAGTGTAATGACTACAAAAACGGCTGGTAGGGACTACAACAAGTTACTTCCTGGGTT